CCTCCCCCTCCTCCCCCTGGCTCTGCGGCGGGGGATGTTTGCTTCGCGTGTCGCGGCGGCGGCCCCAACGACGCGCTATGTCTTGCGAGCGGATAGCGCGTCGCTCCGCTCCGCAGGGCGGGAGGAGGAGGAAAAGGCTCGCTGCGCGAACGCCTCGGGACCGCGGAGTGGATGGCGGGTCGCACCGAGGCGCGGTGGGCCAGAACCGGCGGAGCGACACGCCATCCCCCAAAAAGCGCTTCACCGCACCCCTGCTCCTGAATATAAGCGCCCCCTCCCCGCCACCCGACGGGCGAGACCCGGAGCAGCGCCGACCGCTCCCCGCCCCCCGCGCCACCCCCATCAAACAACAAGGCAACACTCGCGACAACGTCGGCATCGCGTCCGCCTGCCCCGCGATCACGGTACGCTGTCTTCTCGACCAGGGGCGCGGGGCCCACCGCCCCAGTTGCACACAGATGCGAAGCGCACGCTGCGGCAAGATCCACCGAGTCTCTCGGGAGACGCTGTCGTCGTCGTGGTCGTGGTCGTGGTCGTGGTCGTCGTCTCTGCCCCATCCCTTTTTCCCGAAGCCTTTCTCCTCCAGCGCGCTAGCTCCCCCTCTTTCAGCGCCGTTCTCCTCGACCGCGCCAGTCAAAGCCTAAGGGGAAGAGAAAAACGCTCTAATTGAGCCGAAGGGAAGACCCTTTCCCGCCGAGGGGGGGGGTCCAGGTGGGGTGGGGTGTGGGGTGTGGAGGTGGAGGTCCTTGGTCAGTCAGACCTTGGCTGGCCCAAGATCGCTCTATTGACGGTCCACGATGCCCTCGAGAAAATGTTTGAAACCCCAAGACGCCCCAAGACGGTCCCAAGAGGACCGCGAAGAGGCCACACTCATCGATCTGCCTTTCATTTCTACAAGTTGTTCGCGTTATCGAATTCTCATGGCCCAGGAAGTCCCCAAGACCGCCCCAAGACTACCTAGAAAGCCTCCAAAACTGCCCAATCCCAACAAGGGAAACACCGACCGACACTCATGCGTGCCGTCCCATGAGGCCCCCAGGAGCCCCCCAAAGGCGCCCAAGAAGCCCCCAAGAGGCACCGAAGAAGTCCCCAAGAAGCATCCAAGAACATTCCCAACATGGCCCCAAGAGGCCAAAGCGTCGTCGTCGTCGTCGTCGTCGTCGTCGTCGTCTCCATTCAGGGTCGGCGGCGCCCGCCGTCAAGCCTTCACAATACTGGACCATGCGCGGGCGCCCCACGATAATGTCTCAATGTTATCTGACAGGGGAGATGAGGGTGCTTGGCAACGCGCGGCGCACCTCGCGGGCGTCGCGCACCTGACTGGCGTCTGCATTGGTTCCCGCGGGTTGTCGCTGGCGGCCCCTGTCCATGCTGAGGCTCGGGTGCTATTCATGTGTTGGTGGGGCGGGTGGGAGTGAGCGAGACGGCGGGTAGCTTAGTCACTGTTCCGTACTCATGAACACCCTCTCCCCAATCCGAATGGCGACAAACCTGGGACGCTGCCAGCACCCTCCCACCGTCCCTTGCAACAAAAACAATGATAGGTGCATGTTTCACAAGAGTTCTGAATTTTGTGAGGGAGCCCCGCAATGGCTTTACATGGTTTTTGACGAGTACTGCTGGCATGGTGGCATCTTGCCTGCTGTGGGCAATACCAGGATGCCCCCACCAACCCTTGCTACGAAAACCATGTAACGTGCATGTCGCACCAACATCTGGATCATGCGTGGGCACCCCGCGACCACCTAGCACTGGCTGTTTGGCAAGTGCGGGGGGGCGGTGCACAACCAAGACGATGCAACGCGCAGACTGCGCCAGTATGTGGATAGTGCGCGAGCGCCCCGCGATCACTTCGCCTTGGCTTGGGGCAAAAAACGGCGGAGGTTCCAGCATACTGCCTGCTGTGTGCACTTCCCCCGCCCCGCCACCACTCCTGGCAACAACCATACAAAATATGTGCTTTGCACCAAAATGCGAGTGCCCCGCGATCACTTCGCATTGACTTGTTGTCACGGACGGCGGTGGTGCCCGCATGCTGCCTGGTGTGCGCAGGCTGACCATCCCTTTCAAGCGAAAGTGCGAAGTACACGTCGTTCATTTCTGATCGTGCTCATTTCTGACTGTGTTCGTTTCTGATTGTTCCTGGCCCCCCAGTGGCCAGGAAGAGGCCCAGGATAGAACAAATAGGAATGAGAGGATCTTGGTCCCCCTAAACATCAGAGAACTTTCGAAGACTTAGAACATTGAACAACGTGTATACTTTGCCAGGGACGGCGGAAAAGGGGGGAAACACGTTGCCTGGCGTGTGCGGTCCCGCTGCCCGTGCCACGAACGGGTGCAACGTGAATACGCGGTGCTGGCAACCCCGCCGTCACGTACGGCGGAGGAGGAGGAGGAGGAGGAGGAGCAGGAGGAGGAGGAGGAGGAAGAGGAGGAGGACGAGGAGGAGGAGGAGGAGGAGGAGGAGGAGGAAGAGAGGGGGATGGGGGAGGAGGAGGAGGAGGAGGAGCAGGAGGAGGAGGAGGAGGAGAAGAAGGAGGAGGAGGAGCAGGAGGAGGAGGAAAAGGAGAGAGGAGGAGGACGGGTCGCCGAAGCGCTTCGGAGAAATCCTCCAGGGGGTATTGGACAAGGAACTCTTAGATCAGGAATCCAGGGTCTGGAAGCTGGTGGAACTCGAATCGTGGACTGGCCATGGTTATCACCGCCGCCCTCATTGGATAAGGATTCCTCTGGGGTCTGGCGCCTCCGGGGACTGTTCCTTAACAAACGCCTCCACCGTGCGCAATGCTGGCAACCCCGCCGTCACTTGGCATCGTTTTTGACAGGGATGGTGGGTGGGGGGGAATCGCCATGCTGCCCAATTGTGACGCGCCTGGTGCGCGTGGCGCACCTGGCACGCGCGGCGCACCTCGCGGGCGTCGTGCACCTGGCTTGACTCCCGATGGCTGTCGATATAGCGGTCCATGCCTGTGCTGAGACTCGGGTGCCACGGATGTAGCCGGCGGAAGGGTATGTAGTGAAAGGGCGGGCTGGATTGAGCGAGACAGCTTGCGGTGTTCCCGCTGGGAGCTTGACTGCCCCTCCCTACCCCCTCCCCTGGCGTTTTTTTTTAGGGGGGGGGGGGGGGGGGGGGGGGTGGGTGGGGGGGGGGGGACGTGCCAGACGGTCCGTTTGGGCTCACGGCGACTCCAAGATGGCCTCCGACGCCCAGAGATGGCTTCCAAAATAACTCAACATAGCCGTAGATGTTTCATGATAGTGTCCGGTATATATCCGAGAATGGCTCGAAGTGCTCGCGCCCCCCTTCCAAGGACTCCCCCAAGATGCACAAATCGTTCAAACCAATGATGGTTACCTTCTCAACTTGTCGCCCCTGTCTGGGGCACTCATGGGGGCCTCAAGCGGGCCCCGAGAGGCCCCAAGAGGACCCTCAGAAGGCCCCGATCGTCTTACCAGAAGCTCCCCATCAACAATAGATCCGAGTAGGGCTCCTGCTCATCCTACTACTCTCCCGTTCCTCCTCCTCGCCAATTTCCTCCTCCCTCCTCCTCCTCCTTCTGGTCCTCTTCCTCCTCCTGCTCCAACGGGTTCTCCACATAATCCTCTTCTCCCCTCCCTCGACCAACCTACACCGGGCAACTCTCACGGGCATAGTTTCTGGATGGGCCAGTGGGGATGCGCCAAGCGTCAAGAACTGGAGTGCACTCCCCCTTGGGGGGATGAGGCTGAGGAATCTGATGGAGGTCGCTGATGATAGGGTCCCTGGAGCCAGGTTAGGTCGGGCATGTCCCCCTACAGGGGGATTCTGGACGAAATATAAAAAAATACCTCCCAAATACTCGAGAATAAACAACAATGGTAGAACAAATCGTCCCCATACAATTGTTTAACTATTGTTGAATATTCCTCATGTAGAGGGACAGGCCCGACTTAAAAAGCCAGGCTCATACGCCGCAGGATGAGAAGGAAGAAAGGACGGGGAGTCAGGCAGCCAGCGGGGAAGCGACCTGGCGAGGGAGTCGGTGGACGGGGCGGACGGAGGGAGGCGAAGGCGGATGAGGCCGGGGGAACAGCGGTGGAGGCGAAGGGCAGGGAGGAAGGGTAGGGTAGGGAGGGCGGCACGGCTGGCGTCGGCGAAGGAGAAGGTGAGGCGGCCGAGGAGGGAGGGGGAGAAGGGAGAGGGGAAGGGAGGACTGGGACGGGACGCGGAGGAAGCGGCGGAGGCAGGAGGACCACGAGACGGGGAAGGATGAGGCCGACTGTGGCCCGGAGGCAGAAGAGGAGGAGGAGGCAGGATGAGAACACCAGAGGAGACGACGAGGCAGCAAAAAATGGATGAGGGGAAACAGGACAGGAGGATGAGGATGTAGAGTGGCAGGAGGAGGTGAACGGGGAGAATGACATCGAGCGTGGCCGAGACACAGACGATGAAGATGAGGATGAAGATGAAGATGAGCATGAATATGATGCTGATGTTGATGATGCTGGTGATGGTGGTGGTGATTATGATGATGGAGATGGTGATGGTGATGATGATGATGATGATGATGATGATGAAGACGATGATGATGACGAGTATGCAGCAGGAGGCCGACGAGGAGGCAGGGACGGCAGGGAGAAGATGCCGAAGAGGATGGCTACGATACGAGTGCGCGAGGGAAGGAGCACAAGAAGCACGCAGAGGAGCGAGCACGAGGAGAAGGACGAGTGAGCAAGATGATGACACCGAGTGTGGTGCTGATGGTGATGATGATGTTGATGCAAATGATGACGATACTGATGAGGATGAGGATGAGGATAATGAAGATGATGACGATACTGATGAGGATGATGATGATGCTGCTGCTGATGATGATGCGGATGATGATGATGATGATGATGAGGATGAGGATGATGAGGATGATGATGATGATGAGGATGAGGGGCAGAGCAAGCCGTCGGCGGCGGCGCCTTGCCGGTGACCTTGCTGAGAGGTCGTCCCGGAGGGTCGCTCATCCGCC